ACATGGGATAAGGGAAACGCGTATTCACGTCATATATTGAGACAAATCCGTGGCATTACTCTCGTCAGCGATACTAAAGAGTGGGGACAAAATGTGTGCCAAATGTGTGCCAATAATCTCTACACTAATTGTCCCAAAATTTGTTTCACTAAATTCTGATAAATAAATAAAATATGTTTTAGTACTCAATATATGACGTGAATACGCGTTTCCCTTATCCCATGTCTACTATAATATACTAATGTATGAATACATTCATTAAACATATTATTTTATTATTATTACAATTAATTTTACATTTTTCATATTAAAACCGTTTGTTTTAAATCCAATTATTACTGTTTAACTAAAAATACTTTTGTTCTAAAACTCTTTCATAACATTTGGTACTAATTTCACATAAAAACATTAACATTAAATACAATAAAAGTTTGTGTGAAAGACTGACTTTTCAAATTAATTCAGTGAAAATACTCATCAATATGTATGCTTCATAATCCCCACACAGATTATAATTAATAATTATAATTTATTATAATTACTTTCTATAGAAATTAATGAATATATGATATAAATTTACATGTATGAACTAAAAGGAACTATTTTATAACGATAAACAGTTCCCACGAATATATTGTATAGTTATAATATACTTAAGATTTGTGCTAAAATTGGTCCAAGGTTAGATAATACTGTAATCGTAGATAAGATTACATTGTTTTAAAATACAGGTAATCTAAATATACATCATTTAGGCATAAAGGGATCAAATTATTTGTTTAATTAATACCACTTAAATAGTAAAAGTATTTCATGTATAAAAACTAAAATCTTATAAAAATAATTTTATAAGAAACTAAAAGTATAATTTACTTAATGTTATGAACAAAATGTTTGTCATATATTTGTTAGCATTGATTGCTTTTACAGCGAATGTAAACACATTTGTATTGAATGAAAGCAATGATATCTACCAAGAAGTGAGAGATTCAAGAAATTTTACGGGAAAAGTAATTTTGGTAACCGGAAGTGCTTCGGGTATTGGAGAACAGATTGTGAAACTATACTCGGCTTTGGGGGCCAGTGTTGTGGTCACCGGTAGGAAAGCCGCAGACATTGCAAAAGTGGCCAAAGAAGTACAGCAATTGTCGCCCAAAAAACTTAAAGTAATTCTATATTTATTATAATTTATTACAAAATATAATTAATTTAATTTAATTTAAACAAAACATTGAATAGCCGTTAGAAGTGACCGCAGATCTGACCAAAGATGAAGATTTACAGCATTTGTTTAATGAGACGATTAAGACATACAAAGGATTGGATGTATTGGTCAATAACGCCGGTCTTCTCATTAGAGGCAATGCAACCGATACTGACTTTTTGGCAAATCTGGACCGAAATGAAGACCTAGACGTGCGATCATCACTCAAACTGATCCGTTTAAGTGTCCCCTATTTGGCCAAAACCAAGGGATCTATCATTAGTATTAGTTCTACTGTTACGGAACACCCGGTAATAAATTATAGAATTGCTTATTTAAAGTTGTATTTATTGTTATAATTAATATTTAATATTAATAATTAAAAATATTTTAACGTTTGAATAGCAAAAAGCTCTGTTGGCGTACGAATTGGCCAAACAGTCGCTGGAAATGGCGACCAAAGTATTATCACTAGAGTTGGGTCCACAGGGTATACGTGTTAACGCTGTCAGGTATGATATAATTTAAATGCAATTGGTCATGTTTAATTAGTCATATTGTATGTTCTCTCTCTCTCTCTCTCTCTCTCTC